TCTGGCTGCTTAGCACCCAGAACACTCAAAACTTGATGGAGCCGTAGCAGGGACTAAATATTGACAACTTCCATTTCCTTGCTAAAACGTTATCTAAGAGTGAGTCCTACATTTGCACTTGTGACAGGGTCGCTATTTTTAATCCGCCTTACAAAGAAAAGTCATTTTCTACAAGTACCTGTGACTGATCTGCCATAAAAGTTGAAAGTAGTTGAAGGCATACAACTGGGGAAGAAACACTATTACAACCTTCAAACAGTCTGTCTTATGCCACCATGAAAATGCTTCTGCCTCAGTTAAACCATAAATCCACCTGAAACGTGGAAAACAGAACTGAGAGAGAAATATTTCAAAACAACAAAGCTCAGAGGATGAACAAAGTTTTAACTAGTCTAAAGTGTGTGTTATCATGGTGCTAATGTTGTAAATGCCATTATCCAGGACAGAAAAAAAAAAGAAACTTAGAATTAAAGCCCATGTTCACTCAACTAATAATAAGCGAATACATCTGCTTGAACAAAAGTTTTCATACTTTGATTCAGCCAAAAATAAAATATAACCCTATTTCCCTCAAAAAAAAAACAACAAAAAAAACCTGGGATAGCCTCTGAAATAAACAAACAAATAAGTGTTGATATCAAATTGTTTACCTCAAAGTATTCATTTTTAGTTTGTGCACTTTATTAGAAAAAAAATGTAGTAAGTTTTAAAGGAAAGAAAAACATACAGTTCTACTCTGTATGGGAAAACTTGTTTGCTGAGCTAAGAGAACCCACTCCATATTGTTACTAATCACACAAAAATACAGCAGTACTCTCTAACACGTTACCTGGCTTTACTTACCCTATTACCCTACCATATGTTGTTCTCACACATTGTTGCTCCTTCAGTATATATATTTGAAGAGTAGTTTACGCATAAAAACATTTTCCTTGAATTCATAAACACCATGCCTCCCAGTGAAAGTAACAAGTGTATCTAGGATATGGAAATCAGAAGCCTGAAAATCCATAACCACTTAAAGGTGGGGTTACTTTCCTTTTTCAAAATGAAATAAAGTAACACATTAAGCAGACATAAATCTTCTGTTTAGCTTTATGTTACGCAAGAAACAGTGTAGGTAAATGTCTCACACATCTTCCACAGTTTCAACAGAAACGTAATCTCAATTATTCTAAGAGCACTAGAGCTGCAGCTCACCTACGTGCCCTGCGGTGGACTAAGTGATAGGCAATGATCTTCTTCAAAAACCTTCTCTTAGCACAGAATAAACATCATTGAATCCTGTTGTGGGAGCTAAAAACCACAAACAGACCCTTTTGTCCTTAAGAAAGCAAAAATTCAACATATTCTTAGTGAATAAAGAAAAACAGGATCAAAACCATTAGCCTAGGACTATAAAGTACCTTCAGTGAGATTCCAGAAGCTCATTACACTCAAACCGCTCTCCATTCCTAGCTACCCATTTCCTCACCTGTCATTACCTTAATTAACACAACCTGAGTGAGCTTTTTGTAAAAACTCCAACTGAACCAAGCCTAGAAAAACAGCCAGGCACACATCCATCTAAATTCTTGGGATCATCTGACTCTGCTACCTCTGATTATAGTCCAAGAACTGTTTTTACCCGGTAAAATAATGTGCTTCAGGACAGCAATAAAGGTGCTCCGTAAGTTATATTATGGAATCAGACACTGACATTTAAAAAAAAAAATAAAGTCTTCATTGTTGGGAAAATAACATGAAGACTCAAATAATGCGATCTGGTAGACAGCATTAGTTTTAAAGCCTTTTTTCTGAAACAAAAAACAACCAACCAAACAAAAAACTGTTGTTTCCCAAGCCAGTCTAGCACACAATTACTTTGGTAGCAGCTGGAGTTAGTAACGCTCACTCCATCTCTTGAAGTCAAGTTCCTAGGACAATAAGCGAACAGGAAGTTTTCAGAAGATTCCCACTGGCATCTGAGTTCTGCAAATCACAGAAGAGGAGGAAAAGATCAACACCCTGCCACCTCACACCGCACTACTTCGGTACATCCGTAGTCAGTCCAGGAGTCCACAGAGAGCCCACACAGCAGGATGTAATCAGCATCTTTTCCTACTATAAACCTAAATTAAAAGAAACAAACTCAGTGCAAAGGACAATCCTTTTGACTGGAGCCCATCAATACCAAGACGAAATGACTCTACCCAGATCTGGATAAAAAGCTATTTATAACCATGGGAAATCCAGTTTTTCTTGTCAGGATTAACACATTCCACACAATGAAAGTTATGTTTGTGTCAGATCTGCAAAGTCACCACTACCTACCTTTCCTAGTTTTTCAGAGAAATGTAATGAATACGCGAATAACAGCCAGTAAGCCTAAAACCCAAACTGATGTAGATAACAACATGCTCAGCCTGACACTAGCAGCACTCCAGCTTGAGCGTGGTCTGCCACACTTCTCAGTGTCAGGGTAACACACAACGCCATTTGCCTAACCAACCTTTCTTCAATACATTCAGGCACACAGACCTTGAAGTGCATGGCACAAGCCTCACAGTGACCTGCTTTTAACTTTCTGCTTGACACCCAGAAAGAAGAAAAAACACAGTTCTCTGAAGGGCTCTGCTTCACACACTGCCCATTAACAGCAGCAGGATAAGGACTGGGAGCAATAGTTGCAGTGCTCAAAGGTAAGTTTGTTCCAGATCAACAACTGAACACTACATTTTTTATGCTTTGAAACAGAATGACCCAAAAGTTTACATAATCTCCCTGATGACTGTTTTGTTCTGATTCCTACCTGAAAATCCCGTATAAAACAGCTTAGCAGCTTTTTAGTCAGTCCTGCTTACTTCCCCAGATCACTTCTTAGTACACCTCTTCTTATGAGTGTTTTGTCATTCCCATCATCTCTTAACCTTCAGGAACACCTTTCCAGCTTGCTGGTGTACAAGGCCTCACCTACCAGATCACAGCCTCTTCCCGTGTAGTAGAAGCAACCTGTCCAGATTCCTTTCAAGTCAGCTTCTATGCTACTGCAAAAATCCAGTGCCTGCCAGCTGGGCTCAAAACTGACAGCCAGTCCCTGGGCACTGGCTCCCAAAGACAGACAGCTGATTAAGGATTTAGACCGAACTCTGATAAAAGCCAACAAAAAAGCTCCATCTTCCCAGGATCTGTAATATTTAAGGATTCGCGATACAGTTTAGGTAGTTTATGAAATCTGACAGAAATAGTGCCAACCCCACATATGCCACAGACTCCTAAGAAAGAATTTTTAGAATAGAAATAATTGTGAAAGGTAGTTGAGTGTAAATAACATTAAAACATATAAAAAGGGTTTACACACATAATTTGACATGGTATGTAGAACACTTCACTGAGTCATACATTTTGACTTAAGTTTGGGTTGTGTAAACAACAGTTTCTTATTTTTAATTTACTAGGGAGGTTATTACTAGCTTTTAGTACCAAATCTTCACTTTAACAGTACTATGGGAAAATGAAGTTAGAAAGTATGCCGTTTGCAAGAAGAAGAAAGTAGTCAGCCAGACTAATTTGCATTAACTTTGTTTTATTTTATTAACTGTTAGCTCTAACAACCATAAATATTCTTTGGAAAGATCTTCATGTTTATGGGCAATTAATACAATTTTACAACAATTCACGACTAGCTGGCATTCTAACTAAAATGTGTCTAGCAAGAGCAGTATAAGAGGAGGGATAAGATTTAAAAAAAAAGAAAATGAAAAAAGTGCTATTTAAAAAGTGATTCTAGTATCTTTTTTGATCCAAAAGACTGAAGAAAAAGAGCAATAACCATTTCACAACCATTATATTTCAGAATCCCAAAAAGAAACTGAAACATATATCAAGTAAATGCAAGACTAGATTAAGAGACAGATTTTAATACAAAGAATACAAAGTATCCGAATGGTCCAATTGCTTTTTCAATCCCCCAAAGAAAAGCACAAAGGGCATTAACCCTTATAATAGCTGTCAGAGACAAACACATAACATTATTCAATATATACATTAAAAAGCATCTTCTCCACTGGATCAATTTGTTCCATAACAAGCATCTATGATATAAATACTGAAACAGAACAAGTCTAAACAGGTTATCACTTATTCTTAACTGGCACCAGACAAAACTGTAATTACAAACCCAGGACAGCAATGGATTTGGAGAGACTCATCTCCCCTTTCTTCTAGGGAAATTGTAGAAATGGTTGTTAGGTAGTCCTAACACGAGCATTTACAATATATTGATGTATTAGTACCACCTTCACATACGGATCTAGTTCCTGAAGTGATGCAGAAATTCAACAGATTATTTCACTTTATCCCAGTGAAGATCTGTCCTCACCTTTTCAGAACACTTCAAATACTGGTCATTACTTAGCTGCAATCATTATCCCATGGCTTTCTATTCTACTCAAAGTATATGTCATATGACTTAGGGAGAAAACAGTAGTACTAGATATACATATGGCCAAGTTCTCAAAGGTGAGATAATTCATTCTGTACCACCCTCCCCCCCACTTACTTAAAGATGGTTTCCAGGCAAACACTTTGGAGAAAGGCCTAGGTTCCCCAGAGCACATCCTATTTTTCAGCAGTAAAAGCCTAAGAACACAATACACTTGCCTCCGAAGTTTGTTCCACTTGATTTAAAACCAGAGTACCACTATTCCGTACCAAATTTCTGTCTACGTATTCCTGATGCACAACAAATTGTACCCAACTTACCTGTTCATCAGCCATATAATTAACTGTAAAGGCATGTCAGCTCACTGCTCTGCATAAACATGCTTCAAATCTCAACTTCACGGGAACACGGGTTCTCACCATCTAAATCATTACTGTAATATAGCAATCGCCAAATTTTATGACTAAGCTGAATGGTAAAAGTGATTTTTTAATGGATATTTGGTTCTACAGTTCTTGAAGTACAACAGTGCTGTCCTGTAAGCTACAGGTAGAACATATAAATGGAGTTTACATACGCATCAGATGAAAGATCCCATCGCAGGCATTAATATGAGACAAAAAGGCATTTCCTAAGCCTTGGCCAGTATGGGCTCCTTTCACAAGGCCAGCAATATCCACTACATTCAGAAAGGCTGGAATTTTGCTGAAAGATAGAAGTTGAAAGTTTCATTGTTGAGGCATATCAGCAAAAACATTTGGCACAGAAATAAGTTAAGAATATGAAAATGCATTCCCCTTTTCCAGAAAAAGATGCACATGACAGTATCTTTCTTCTCCATTTAACTTGCAATGTATAAAAGACAAGATTCCCTCCTCCCTCGAGTAAAACAACAACCATTCTTTAATTTGTCATAGTTCATGGAAAATGAAAACACTTTTTTTTTTTTTTGACAATGTGGAATCATAATGACATCTATACAAATAACCAACCAGGCCTGAAATGCTGAAATAAGACACCTGTAATGAGCAGTTTTCATAGTACCAAAGGGATAAAACTCATACGTGGTTATCACGCTCTGCTGTTTTCACCTCTATGGTTACTGTTTAGTTAAGTTAAGCGACTTCGTCAGAAGACAAGGGCATTTTTTGAAGTGTTGGTTAAAACCAGTAGTTTTAACTAGTAGTAGTGGTGGTCAGGGTTACACAAACAATTTGAAAGAAGGCAGAAAACAAATTTAGATGAAGCTGAGAGTTGAATGGACACAGCTGTGACATTTTACACCAAGTACATTCAAACCAAAATTACTTCTCAAAATCCATCTTGGGAAAACAACAATTAAAACTCTGATAATGTGTCAACTAAAAGCACAGTCTACATAAATGACCATGCCATCATTTACAACTGCAGAGAGAAAATAATGCTGAAATGGTGCAAATTCCTCACTTGCGAAAGACAAGAAACAGCACACCACAGGCATCAAGATTTCCAACTTGAAGGCTTCAAAATACATAAACAAAAGGAACAGTACTTAATTTCCAAACACCGTAAATTATCACCAACTATATTTCACTAGCATGATGCTTAGATAAATACAACACTTCACTGTCCTACTAATATTCAAGTACAATGAAAAATGCCCAAATATAATGCCCATGACTAAATGCTTTAGTAATGTTGATGAAAAGGGTGTGACTAAAGCTATGAAGTCTATCCCATTTTTGTTTTCAATATTCCTCTTACACTTCACAAGAAAAATGTGGGATGCTTGTGTGTTTCTTTTTTGTGTGCATGTGTGTTTTTGTTTGTTCTTGTTTTTGTTTCTGTTGTTTTGTTTTTTCGCCTCCTCCAAATAAACAAACATTACAGTACAGGATCTGGACAAAATCTTTTTCTTTGCCAAGGTAAAGTTCAAAGCACTACTATACCCACCAGCTGTAATAAATTGGGAACTTAACAATGCATTCCATGTTATCAATACCTTTGTGACACGATTAGAGACAAGCCATAATATAACACAACATTCAAAAGGGTGAGATTAGAAAATATGCAAGAAAATGTTTACAACATAGAATGAGTTGCTTATAGTTCTTATAAATACCTTCAGAAGTAAACAAACTTTGAAAGCTTCACATTTTTGTCCCGCTATGGTTTTCTTAGAAAATTCTATCGATTTTTTTTTAATTACTAGTACACAAATTCAAATGGAAGCAGCTAATCAGTCATCATTAAGGAACTACCAAGAATAACACACATTCTGAAGGTAAAAACCAATAACCCCATGAATGCATTAAGCTACCGATTCCTCCCACCTGACAGAGGTGCACAGCTAATAAAACCTTCACAAGAAACAGCAGCAACTTCCCTGAGAGAATTTTGTTAGAATTCGTTGCTTTTTGACAAGAAGTTAAGTCAGCAGCAAGGCAGAAAAATTATACTTTTTAAAGCATTTTTCCATTGTAATTTCAAATCTTACTATAAGAAAAACAAAGGCAGTGTTAGAAATGTTCTCTTTCAATACTCGCCTCTAATTGTTCCGGCAGGATTAGCTTCCTGGCCAGCCATCAGAAGAATTCACACTTTCGCTAGAGATGGCACATTAGAGCAGGACAAACACCTTCATATGCAGATAGGCTACTGTCACCAGAATCGGCCTCATTTGCCAGAGAATGAATGCAAAACTCCAGCATATTTATTTCATAGTTGGCTAATACAAGCGAGAGACCTTTGAAGATGAAGTAGCTGGGTTTCCAAGATGTTTTCTCATCTTCATCTCGGGTATCAAAAAGCTGACAACCCAAGCAAAGTAAAACAATCACCATTGTTGGTGGCCCATTTCCTAAGCCTAAATCTTTATATCATCGTAGGAAGATGAAGACTGAGGAAAGCAGAAAAAGGCATTCCAAACTATGCTCTGAAAGACAATTAACGTCATGAAACTAAACAACCTGCAATTTGTTGTACATACTATTTGTTCCAAAATTTGAGGGGAGAAGGCATACATTTATTTTGCAGGTTTCCACAAGTAATTGTTTAGCACAACTAAGTGTTTAGTTGCAAACTGTTGCAGGCAACACACACCTAAAGCTTTGGCTTCAGATTAAAACATACCTATCCAAAATGCTGCTTCTCTCCCTGTGTTTTTATTCTTCTCCAATGACAATGCCCTAATAATTTCTTTGCAGCATTTACTGCAGTTTACTGAAATCTCACACCCACCAGGATACCCTGAAAAACCAACCAAAAGCTTCAGCCAATTTTATAACGCAGCAGTTTTCCAACAAGCCTGGGTGATGATTCTTGTAACGCTTACTTTGTGCTCATTCCCTGAATGGTTCAATACACTTCTCTCAACTCAGGCTCTACCAGGTCCAAGATCCCACACAGCAAAAAAAGGTCAGATTCTTTTCCCTTTGGTAAAAAGAAATGTTACTAACTCCTGGTTCCAGTACGGGCTCTTCTTCCTTTAAAAGCTTTCATTTGAAATCTGTTAGAAAAGAGAAATTCTACTTCCTTCCTGAGCATTCCTATAGCTTAAGCAGGAGTCATCCGTTAACACTTCACAAATTACAAGAAGTAGCAATGCAGATGACCATCTACATTGTGAGAACTTCTCAGAAATCCAGAGTCCTCTGTCCTCACTATTATTTTCAGCTTATTTCCAAACACAACGGAGCAGTACAGTCCCTGCGTCTTCCAGGAGATTGTACTAACACTGCTACTGCAGTCGACCTTGCAAGAAGTTCTCACAGGGTAAAAACATCTCACAAGGTAATTAAAGAAACTATCTTTTGAAAAATTGGGTATTGCAGATGAACTCTGGTAATTTCTACACAGGAACTATTTCATGAAAAACATCTTCTCCGTGGTACTAACTTGAACCTAACAGTACAGGAACCAGAAATGAAAAAATCTGCTAATTAAATTTCACCTTTGTAAATTATAAAAAAAAAATAGTAGAAGATTCAGTGCAGATTGAGACACATGCTCATATGCTATTCAGTAAGTAATTACACCACTGAAATACATCTAATCAAATTTTGCCTCTCACACCAGGCAGAAAAGATGGCACAAACTCCCACCACTTAAGATTTTTCATTCACTGCTGGCAAGTTTTTTACATGCAAGTTAACTTACAGCAGCCAGATCTCACTGAAGAGTTATCAAACTGAGCGATACCCAGAGAAGAAGCACGCTAACAGCACGGTGTGCTTGCCGCTTCAGGCCAGAAGTTTTCTGTAAAACTGGGATTCTCTTATAGATGCTGACATACCAGGGTTACAGCCAGCTAAGTTATTCATGCTTCACTTTGGAATTATAGGTGAAGTTTTCATTTACATTAATGCTATTTTTGAACCTGGAGGAGGCCCCATATGATGTCAAAGAGTCCCACTGCTGATCTAACAAGCAGTTTCCACCAAATGATTAAAGTATTTTTACTCCAAAACTTGATCAAGTACCCAAATACCTTACCCTGCAATACAGTCAAGAGAACTTTTATTTAATATTACACCAGACTTTTATGACCCAGACAACAATGGAAGTTACTGCTCAGATTTAGTTCAGTCACTACCACTCGAGCACTGTAGATCTGAATGCATGAATTTTAACAATCTACAACGTAATAGGGTTTTTTTTATAGGCAATTTACTGCCAAAAAAAAAAAAAAAAAGAGATCCTAAAGGATAATGCTAGAGTTAAAGAGGGCTAGTTGTACTTCACATATTATTCCCCTGTGAGATAACAAGGATTGCTTTAAAATTTAAGTTGAAAAAGACATCCAGGAGAGATTTAAAACAGCCTAAATTAAACAGAAATGTTTGTAGTTGCAATAAATGCTGTTTTGTGAATACAACTGTGCCACACAATGCATCTACTTACAGCTGCAAACACACCAGGAATTGAATGAATACTGCTAACCTGAGAAAGGATGGACCAAACAAATTACTTATATTTTACTCATTCCTGCTTATAATCTGATTTGATTTTAAGCAGAGCAGGAAGCAGAAGCCTAGACTTTAAAATCTTTTTCTGTTAAAATATTATCTGCAGTTAACAGATCAATTGTTTCTGGATTTCAATTCCCAATTTTCAAGGCAGGAGCTACCTGCCAAGATGAACACCTTTTCTATTTTAAAATTAGTGGATACCGTTGTTTCCTACCTGGTTAAGATTCAGGAAAAAGAATACATATTTCTGCTTTTGTTCCTAAACGGATTATCTTCCAACAAAGATAATCTTTTTCCAATTGCTAAACTGAAACTAATTCAATCATTAGTCAGTCAAGCCTTGCCTGAAAGTACCCATATTGGGGGAACGGAGGTAGGAGAACAAAACAAAACCTCACCTTTCCTCTCTGGAAAAGCTAGATGTTAGCACAACATAAAAACCGTGAGTTTTCACCGAGCATGGTTCAGTCAGTACACCTAGATCTAATACGTACAACTTTACCTTTATGTCATTGCCTCTAAATTGTTGCCTACAATTCATTTAATTTGCAAACATTTACATTTCCAGTAAGTAACACCAGCCAGCTGTCAGTGGGGGCTAGCACACCAGCCCCACTCCAGTGGATGCTTTAATCTCGTGGCAATGGGAATGGATCCTCAAAAGCAACAAACGGTACCTGGAGAGCCCCGCTCCTCCTCTGGTGGCAGAGCAGCCGCAACCCAGACCAGTGCTATTCTTGCAGCAGGGCCCACCCCTCCCTGGCAGAAGCGATGTCCTCCCAGCATCCAGGTGACAATGCCTGCCAGCTTGGCCCAGTCATGCTCACCACACCTGCGGGAGCCCAGCACAAGCAGGCAGGTGAGGTTTTTGACTGCTGCTGCTCTGCATGGCTGCTGCTCGTGCTGAGCAAAGAGGCTCTCAGGAGTGCTGGACTCCAAGCATCCAGACAAAATCGCTTTGGCCTGTCATACGTTACTTACAACAAAGCCCTCTTCCCTCCTACCCCCATACAATGACTGCAGTTCTGTCGTGACTAAGTGTAGCATATAAGAAATAAAAACATCAGTGCTTTAAACTGTACGAGACAAAATCTTCAGGCATTAGGGCAAATGAGGCTGGTTTAACGAGTACTTAATGTCTATATGACATTTCTGCATGCACAGATTGATTACTTTTACTAATCTAAACACGTAGAAAATTAACACTGAACATCTTACATAAAGATGAAGAAAGAAATCAAGACTATTCAAGAGAAATTAAGGAATTTAAATTACAATTTAAATGTAAATTAAATTGTGTATCTTCATGACCACGGCCACATCTCCTTGAGTTAGTTCCAACCAGATAAACACAAACAGTCCAAGGAGCATTACCTCAGTCTACTGTGCTACTGAATTACTGCCTTTTTTTTTTTTTGCTTGTTACAGTGAAATATTAAAGAGAGAAAAGCATAATAACAGAATTCAGAGGAGCTACTCACTAATCCCCGTATCCATTTAAGTAATCCAATAACAATGTCCAGTAATATTAAAGGGAAGGGGTTTTGTGTGTTCTCTCTCCAGACAGCTTCTGAGTGTGACACCATGCATTCCTTCTAAGAAGAGATGGCCAAAGAAGGTGAGGAGGAAGAGCTCGTTCTCTTTGTCACTTCAACTACTGATTTAGAAGTAGCCAGTCATAGTTAAATGAGAAGAAACAGAGTGTTTATGTGGCCAAGCAGTGATATTATTACAATTTAGACTTAAAAACAAACAAACATAAAACTATGAATTGTATAAGCCACATTGTTACTTCTGCACAATCAACAGACCAAAGTTTTTGTCTCAAGTTCAGCACAGCTTTATTGTATAGTCTACATAATAACAAGTCTGTTTAATGCTCACTTGGGAAGGAAGAAGTAGGTAACATTATAACAATTCACCTAAACAAATAGCTCTGTATTAGTGTATTTCTCAGTATTTAAGAAGTACATAGGAATTACAGATAGAAGTGACTTGTTTGGACCTGAAAATTAAGGTGACAAATGGATTCTTGGTCAGTGATCTTTTTTCAGCTGGGAGATATCTGGCTTGAAAACTCAAGGCCTAGATGTTAAACGAAAGCACTGACATGCATGATAATTTGACCTTATGATTTACGTACATTCACTTTATTCAAGATACATCTGCATGTAGTTGAAAACTGAAATTAATAAGTTACGAGTATCTATTTTAGTTTCTGAGTTCTGAAAGTACCTTAAACTTTTCTTTTCAATCACAAATCCATTTCTCACACTGAGCACATAGAGCAGGCTATGAAAACAGTCACTACCAAAAAACAATGATGTGACAAAATCAATACACTTATAGACCAGGAAAAGATTTGAAAGAGAGAGAGCACTAAATATCATTGAATATATCAGGCAACAAATAGCAGAGCCCCAAAAAAAGGAGAGAGAGTTCGGGAAAAAGGCTGTCCATAAACATTACTGTTAAAAGACTGATGGCACAGGTTAAGCTGCAAGGTAGCTAAATAACCATGGCATATATTGTATTCTGAACAACGTAAAAGACAGGATGAACATTTTAAAATGAACAGTCTCGTGACACAGATTAGGTATGTCCACTATTGTTACTGCTGATTTTCCAAATCTCTGCAAAAGATCCAAGTCACCTGGGAGTCTCTACCTTCAAAGGTGGAACAAAGCTGAGCAGTGACTAGCAGTACCCAGACTTCTCACTCATAGCACAAGAGTCATACGGAAAACAAAGTCCAGATGTTTGTATACATACCATTTCACATTCTAAGAGAGACACCAGTCATTGTAATTGCATTGCATTGCATTGTAATTGAACATTCTAAGAGAGACACAAAGTCATTGTAATTGCATTAAACTTCTATGCAAACCTCGGTTTCAGTAACACCATTTCATCTGTTTAAACAAAGAAAAGTACGAAGAATTTGAGTTACCTTGGAGGTTTGTGGTACTGACACAGGAAGTCAAATCTGTCATCTGGCACGGGTACTCGACTCTCATTTGGATCAATAGTACAGAACGGGAAGTTTTCTGCTGCCGCTTGACTCTTTGTTAATACATTGAAAAACGTGGATTTCCTGTTAAAAAATATATATAAAGACTTTTTTAAACAAATTTGAATTAGAAGAATTTACAAGGGCAGGATAGAAACATTATCCCAAACCACATGCAGTACTGAACTATGCCTCTGCTTCAAGTGACCATTGCGCTGTTTCTAGTACAAGACTCTTTCAAACGCACATATGGAGTGTCACATCAAAACTCCACGTTTACCTCTCTTCTGTGCCCTAAAGAATTCCCCTAAGTGACTATATCGCACATGTCAGCAGAGAAATTCTAGGTCAAAAGCAAAACACAGCTCTACTGGCCACTACTTATTTTCCTTGAGCATAAAATGAGAAAACAAATCAGGAAGCCTGAAACGTATTTCAAGTGAATGTGCTTTGCTGAGACCTATCAGCCTTTTCCACAACTATACTATTTCTTCAGATTTATTTACGCATTAACACAACTTCAGTATCTAAGCAATAAAAGTCAACAACCAAACACAGAAAAGGGAGCAAAGAAAGCAAGTCACATCAGTTAATTAATTTCAAGTGATTTTTTTTGTGCATATGAATATACAGTTTAACTCAACAAAGATTTTTTGTGTGTTAATTACTGTCAGTAAAACTGCTAGGGAAAAAAAACAAACACATTTCATTTAAACCGGACAGTAGATTATTTTGTTAGTTGGCATTTATTAAACCAAAAATAGCCACTCCTGAGTTATTGCTAAGAGAAAGTTCTTAATCAAGTCCTCGATCTTCCACCTCAAACACTCTGTTAGGTGCTTGGTTTCTTTCTTTAATTTCAGTTTTACAGACTTTCTCTGCCACTGGGTAACAGAAGTCTGATAGCTGTCCCTGTACACAGCCAAAATGCTCAGAAGTCAGTCACAACTGTCCTTGAAAGTTGTTTTATAACTGCAAATGCTATTTTCTCCATTTATGTGTTAGCCATTGCTATCACTAATTATTTCCTATCTGGTGTGCAACTCTCTTAGGCCCTGAAAAAGTAAATAGATATAAATACTGGCTTCTTGTCATTTCATTATGGCTTTGAGACAAGTTCAAAGTTTTCTTTCTCATTTTCAGAAAAGAAAGAAGTAGGGAAAGCTTTCAAAAAACTTCGTAACATTAACCAGAATGGAAGACGTGATAGTGATGGTTAAAGTGCTTTTTCATCTCATTAAAGAGATAGTAAATCGGTACTATTTTTGTACCATTTTACAGCCACTTTGCCCTTACTTCTCCCTTTTATTTTGCTATCGTATTGCACCAGGGTTGTAAGCGTGTGAACACCTGGAGGTCCTGTTAGTGAGCACGACACGCAGATCACCACCACAAGGCTCTCCAGGGGACTCTGCCTCCTCCAGAAGCACCTCAAGACAGGCTCCTCCGCCAGGCCCTAAACACTCCAGCCGAGGAGCACGCCAGGGGACTACAGCTGCTGTCCCCCACCCGCCCCCTCCGTGACACTCATCTTTACCAGCTCCCCAGGAGCTGCAGGAGCCCTGCCCGGTGAGGCGCCCCCGCGCCCCCCACCCTCCCCAGATAAGGCAGGAGGGCCCCGCCTGCCCGTGCCCACGAGGCGGCCGCCGCCTACCCGACGTTGGGCAGCCCGACGATGCCGATCTTGAGGGACGTCCCGAACCGGCCGATGATGGGGTGCGCCTTCACCCCGTCGCCTGCCTTCTTCGGCGGCATCTGGGGAGGCAGAGCAGAGCAGAGCACAGCAGATCAGATCAGAGCACAGCAGAGCAGAGCGCCGCGAAGGCCCCGCGGAGCCGCCTAGGGGCGGGGAGCCCCCCGGAGGCCGCCCGCGGAGCCCGGCCTGCTCCCGGGGGCAGGGGCGGCGGGGCGGGGCGGGGGCTGCCCCCAGACGGCCGGGCTCACCTCGCGGCACGGCAGCGGCGGGGAGCGGAGCGGCGGGGAGCGGAGCGGCCTGACACGCGGCCGGGACACGCCGGCCTAGCAGCTGCCGGCGGCGGAACAGGCGGGGCCGCGCCGCCCATCGGCCGTGCCCGCCGCCAGGGAAAAGGTCGGCGGAGCGGGGCGGGGCGGGGCGGCCTCGGCGGGGCTCCGCGAGCGGCCCGGGAGCTCCGCGCTGCCCCGGAACCACAACGGGCTCCCGGGGCCGCCCGTGGCAGGCCCAGCAGGCGGGGAGCAGGAACGGGCACGGGGGAGCACGGAGGGAGCCCTGCGCGTCCCGGCTCCGCCGTGCTTCTGCCAGCAGCCACCCAGGCGGGCTGGGGGCACCGCAGCGTGCGGGACGGGAGGCTTCCACCTCCGAGGATAGCAGTGGGATCGCCTGCAAGTTGATACTTCACGCTGTACAACTTAAAAAGACGTTCCTGAAGCTTCTGGACTTCACAGAACCCCTGCACCACATCCAGCGACCTTTCCAAAGCCATTCAGAGTCAGCAATCCATAGTCTAACATAACGCCCAACGCTCATGGCAGGGAAGATTATCGTTGGGGAAGCAAATACCACAACCTGAATACATTACAATCAAATGTAATTGTGTTTACTTAATAAATTACAATGTATATATAACAGCAACTCATATGCTGTAAGTAAAACCAGCAAAAGTACATATACCAGTTTAAAAAAGAACATTGGTAGATGAGCCCTACCCACCTAGAGGAAACAACTGTGTGCCACAAGACACACAGATCCCAGCATTTAGGGCTGGTGACCATGGGGCTCCCAACACCTGTAGCACCAGCCACCTGGGGCATCCCTCCCAGGAGGAGAAAACACACATCCCCAAATCAGCAAAGACTCAAAGATAGGGGATGGTGGTAAACAACTAAGTAAAAGGGGAGCTGACTGAGGTGCAACACCAGCCTGAGGAATCAGTGAGCCAGCACTGGAGGCGAGAACAGAGCTCTGCACCCAGCTGCAGGTGCGCAGTGTCCAGTCTCCATGTCCCAGCAGAGGAGTGCGGAGCCCTACAGAGCTGGTTCTGTCTGGCAGAATGTGCCTGAACAGCCTGAGCTAGGCAGGAGGTAACAGGGACCTGCAAGAAGTTACAGCTGTACTAGAAGAATTTATCTCCATGCAGGGTTCCACTTAACCTGTAAATAGGATTTTAGTGTAATGGATGACCATTATTAATATAACCTGTGTTTTTGCTGCTTCAGCAATGCCTCTACAGAACCAGCTTTGCTGTCCTACAAAGGAGAGTGCAGGCGCGCAGAGCCTGTTCAGCCACTCTTCAGACGCAAGACTGGACTTGACTCTCAGATCAGCTGGGGGAAGAAGTGGCTGGTTTCAGAAGTCAGTATTTCTACAGGGTGCTAAGTAACATAGCAAGGACATTTAGGGCTACACTGACAGTTATCAGAATAAAGAATGTTTCCATTTGCTGTTTCAAAGAAACAAAGATAATTTTAATCTATAGATAGGATAAAGATTGCTAACTAGCTGTAAGTCATTAAGATCATCAGTTCCCCAATCAAATTACTTTGATAATATCATTTTCAACAGAAAAAAAAAAAGAGTCCATAATGATTAGACTTGCATTATGTGTCTAGAACATTTTCTTATCATGTCATAAATCTATGCTAACATCACATTCTGATACTTTGAAGAGTGCAAATACTTAGTTGAGGGTATAATTTGCTCTAGTGGGTCTTTAAAATATTTTAATTGAAGAAAAATTCATTTTTCATCTAACTTCCTCTAAGATCAATTAAAACAATTAGCCAAAAATAAATAAATCAGCAAGAAAACAACAATTCTCTCAACCTAAATAGGTCTTGTCAAAATACGTCATGCTATAATTTAAGGATGTCCTCCTATACAGGCTTTTTTATTGAACGTGATCTCTAAGAGCACTCTGAAGTGATTATTGCTTGTATAGGAACCATGACCAAGACCCTGCACCCTTCTGCAAATAACATGAAGGGAAGGGAAGCATCAGGCACGAAGAGTAACCCTGTTCACTGCAAGCAGAGATGCAGGTTCAGATCTCCTGGGTCTGTTTCCTGACCCAACAATCCTGCACTGGGGCAGGCAGCACCAGAAACGTAGAATACCAGGAGTATGCACTGAGCATTAGCTTTCCTTTTGGATTCAAGGAGCAGTGGCAGTGAGGCATACTACCAGGTCTTTGTTTGTGCTTATTTAGATTAGTAAAGGCAGCATATGCTCAAGAGGCATATGCCCATTGTAAACACATCCGGATTTGTTTATATCAACTCGCACAGCAATTTAATAAATAACAAACTAATCCTTGAGAGGTTGTATCTGGGAATATATTAGATGTCAAGAAGACAAAACACTTAGAATACACAAAAAATTAGTTGTAGAATGTTACAGAAGTCTGACCAAGACTCTTGAAAAAAAAAAATTAAAGACACTTTCTTCAACTCAGACTGTTCCTCTGAACCATTACAGACAGACACCATCAAGTGTTTGCCTGCTAAGAAAATTGAAGGAGAGATGTCAGTAAAAACTGTTCTTACAGCATGTCCTATTTTAGATTTGTAAGATTAAATTCTCAGAACTGGAAAACCACCAGAGTGAAGGAGTCAAGGTGAGAGTATCATCAGATTATATATCATCTCAGTTACAATAAAAGGAATATAATCTTGATTTTTTATTTATTTATTTTGCTAAGAAAGGACACTGTTTTCCAAAGCCTAATTCTGAATTACGTATCAAAGAAACAGCAGTTACTACTTATTTTCCTTTTCGGTGACCAAAGATTTTGCTGCAGTATGGTGGAGAAAAAGACTACGGTATCCATGCAGAGATTTTTCCTCTTAGTGTAGTGGTAATCATTAATAGTCAGTCTTTGGTGGTAGCATGCTTATGCAAGTCCTTCTATTACTTTAATCTAACACTACCAATAGGACAAAGGAAAAAAATAACAACAACAACTAATTCAAGTTAACGTTTAGTTACTTAGCTCTTGAATGAAGCAAATGGATTACTACAAGAAACATTCAGACATACTGAAATTAGCCAAAAATGTGTATGAATAACTGCTGAGCACCTCTGCAGCCTTTGCATCTGTAAATAAAAAACCTCCAGTAAGCAAAATTTGTGTCTTTTTCAGGAATGGAATTGACACATCTCAGTTTTCCAGCCTTCTGAAAGGTCAAGACAGCCAACTCCTACCCATCCTACACTGTATGTCCTGAAAGTAGGGTCACACAAGGCTACTTCACTGCAGAATAAGGCATGAACTCGCCTAGCTCCATTAATAAGGCCACAAACATTGTGAAAGGCTACTTTTGGGGACCATTTCCATCAAATACATTTTCTTACCCTCTTAACATTTTGTAAATCAATTTTGTTGTCCATCTTTTTAGTGTAGGCATGATATCTCAAAATATTTTTTTAAACTATCTTCTTAAAATATTTAAGCTGAGTATTTGTCTATGACAAGAAAATTGTTAATTATCTAGCACCCAGTTAAATTCTTTTCTTCACCAGTTCATAAGCACAATATAGGTATCAGCAGTTTGCTATTTGAAATAAAGGACTATACATATATCTTTGTATCTATAATGTATATTTATGTATATACATAGAGTCTAAAGTGTGGGTAACTCTGATTTTAGCTATCTGGGAAAACAGCTCAAGTCTGGAAGAGAAAAAATTGTTAAGATCTTGACCACTTCTGCTGCTGTTTCTAGTTCAGCATATCTAAATTAGTGCTGTGCGTGCAAGAATTTGCAAGTTTGCATACAATTTTTCTAATTGATGCCCTTTGTACTTCATCACACACCATACTGTAATAATGCCACCCTTCAATCTATTTCTATATCTATTTTATTGTAAGTCATTGCTGTTTCATTACCTACCGTAAAGGACTTGAAAGCATTTGATTCCATCAGCTAGAAATCATCTCTTGGCAGTGTAACATTTCACCCTACCTACCTTTGTTTTCAAGTTGCATTTAGAGTCATGCTTTGCCTTACTTGGTTGAATGTTTCTATCCAAATCTGTCATAGTGATAAAAGCCTTGTTTTAAACTGGCATGCATAGCTTAAATTATAACAATCCTGTTACTTAAAATGTGTTCTGTAAGTTTGATGGGAAAAAACATCTAGAGAGCAGTCATCTCAATGTCATCTTAACTCTACAACATGGACGCCTGCAAAAATACAGCTTATTGTACAGCTAGCACACGTGCAGAAGTCAAACAGTCCCAGAGGGTCTCTGCCTGATTAAAAACAATGTTTAAGGGAGAGTAATAAAACAAACACCTCGTGGTTTGTGCCACCAACATACTCTTTGCTTTTTGCTTCCCAGAACATATATTTACTGCAAAGCCACCGTTAACTACAAAAATAAGTGGTTTTGTAGAACTGAAAGAATAAACACAGAGCCCCTGATCCTTGCTGTGACCGGGCAATGTTCAGCGCAACCCAGGGGGTTAGAAGAACAAAGTTGCTTTTGCACGCCACCAATCCTGGATTGCCTGGGTCCTTGCCCCTGGGAGGGAATAGGATGGCTCTGAGGAATAAATACACTCTGTGCTAAAAAGAAATGCTGCTCAAGGGCACAGTCTAAACTAAATGCTGTTCAGTGACTTCTGGGGAGTTTAAGGGCACTCATCACCCAGCTGAACTGTACTTTAACACAACATTTTTAAACACTACTTTTGATAGGATTCAATAGGCTTTGGCTTTACTTTCTTAACTGTGGATTCATCTACTTCCATAGAGAATCTAGGCTTGTGCCATTCCTTACATTCTGAAATTCATACCATACTTCATGTTTATATTTACTCATTTTCAATCTTTTTTTTTTTTGTTGTTGTTGTACTTACTCTCCTCACCTAAAGACCAGTACAAGGGTAAGACTTGCTCAGGAGCACATAATGAGGAAGAGTCTGATCTGGCACCTATTAATATTTTTTTCCTAGATCACAGAAATTTCAGCTGAATGTCATAACTCTTAACATAGATGATGTCACTAACAGGTATAATATCTACTAAAGTTTCCACAGTGAGAATAGTGAAAAAGATTCAATCAGACAGAGATGACAGAAAGATACTGAAGTAGGAGAAATTGCTGGGGGATTAATGAA